ATAACTAGTAAGATGTGTATAAATGTCCAGAAAGGGAAGGGGGAAGAGGGATGAGGCTGGGGAGGAGGGAAAATCATTGGGGGAAAAAAAAACCTTAAAAAACCCTCCACAATGTACATGAACAAAACACAATATAAACAAAGTATTGTATGCAAATCAATAAAAAAATTAAAAATATTAGAAATATATCTTGAAAATAAACAAGTTTAATATATGCATATTAATAGATAGGGAGGTCTGTGGTGTAGATGGTGGTAAATTGTGCTACTAACTCAAAAGAGTAGTGATTTTCACAGGTTCAAATGCATCAGCTGCTCCAAGAGAAAAGGGTGGGCAAACTCCGGTGTGATTCACAGCTTCCGAAACCCCCCCTGAAAGGTCAGCTCTGAGTTGATTCTAGTCAATGGCACTGAATCAGTAAATGGTTATCTGTTTTATTGTATGATATAATCCTTAAAAATTAATCTATAACCTCCTATTTTGGCTTTGTTTTTTATGTTTTCATTTCTGTTCATATAAGTGAGAAAAACTCTTTGATGAATACTTCTATACATATATTACTGAACAAGTGATCCTCTTGAAACATAAAGTCCCAGGCATGGAAATATGACCTTATGCTTACAGACAAATTGCCTTGTAAACAAGTTCTAGTAGTTTAAACCCTCCTTGGCAGCAACTGAACATGTGTGCATCACTATGTTAGAATAATACACTTTTTAATTTTTAATAAAGAATAGTACTACATTCTTGCTAAAATGGGACTTGACTGGTTTTTTTGAAACATTTTTAATTGGTTTGCTTATGCTCATTCATGCACGTTGTGTTTTATGTACTCTTGCATTTATATTGTTTCATTCACATATATTGTGTTTTAGACACTTTTATATTGTATTTTATATAATTAATGACTGTTGATCTATGCCTATTATCATCTTGTCTTTTCACAGCAATTTAAAAAATATATTATTATTGTTTAAATTTTGCATTGGTTTGCATACCAAGTTCATATCCATTGTGTTTCACACTATCCTTCATTCACATTGTGTTTCATTAAGTCATTCTCATACATTATGTGTTACTTGGGCACAGAGTAAAAGGATCAGTAGCTGGAAAACATAGACTTGGTGATAGAAATGAAGCTGGAGATAGAATGATAGAATTTTGCTCAATCAACAATTTATTCATTGCAAATACGTTTTATAAGAAACATAAGCACAGGCTATACACATGGATTTCACCTGATGGTATGCATAGGAATCAGACTAATTATATCTGTGGAAAGAACTGCTGGAGAAACTCAATATCAGCTGTGAAAACTAGGCTAGATGCTGATTGTGAAACAGGTCACCAACTATTCATACGCAAGTTCAAGTTGAAGCTGTGGAAAATTAAATCAAATCCACAGGAACCAAAATATGACCTTGAGTCTATCCCACCTGAATTTCAAAACCATCTTGGGGACAGGTTTGAGGACTTGAACACTAATGAGTGAAGACCAGATGAGTTATGGGAAGATATAAAGAGTATCATGCAGGAAGAGTACAAGAGGTCATTACAAAGACAGAGGAAGAAGAAAAGACCAAAAACAGATGTCAGAACAGACTGTGAATATTGCACTAGAGTGCTGAGAAGCCAAAGCAGAGGGAAGAAATTAAGATATTAAGGAGTTGAAGATTTCAAAGGGCAGTGTGAGAAGACAAAATATTATAATTAAATGTGCAAAGAGCTGGAGTCAGAAAATCAAAGGGGCTGAACTTGCTTAGCATTTCTTAAGCTCAAGGAACTGAAGAACAAATTCAAACCTCGAGTTGAAATAGTTAAGAATGCTTTGGCTGGAATATTAAATAATCCAGGAAGTATTAAAAGAAGATGGAAAGAACATACAGAGTCACTGTACCAAAAGGAATTTGCAGACACAGAAGAATTTCATGAAACAATGTATTAACAAGAGCCTGTGGTGATGAAGGAGGAAGTTCAAGCTGCTCTGAAAAAAATTGGCAAAAAACAAGGCCCCAGGATTTGACGGTGTACCAATTGATTGTCCTTCCTTATCCAACAGAGCATCTGGTGGATTTGAACAACACACCTCTGGGCAGAAATCTGTCTTAGAAGAAGTGCAGCCAGAATTGCTCTTTAGAAATAAGGACACTGAGACTTCACATATTTTGGGCATTTTCTCAAGAGCTTGTCCCTTGAGAAAGACGTCGGTTCTCAAAGTAGAGGGTCAATGAAATGACCTTCCAAATACATGTTGACACAATAGCTGCATCAATAGTCTAGAACACAGCAGTGACAACACAGGACCGGACAGTGCTTTGTCCTGTTGTATGCAGGGTTACTGGGAGCTGAAATGGACTCAAAGCACCTTACAACAACATCTCTTTGGGGCATTGCTTCATCTTTGCTTGAGATATCCTATTTTTTTCTGAGAATCCTAATCAGTCTCTAGAACCTACTCTGCTTGTCTTCAATTTCTTCACACTTGAAGTTCATGTATTGTCCCTTTCCTGAGATTCAGGATTTCCCTGGATGATCTGTAGATATAATGGACCTGTTGCTGGCCTTGTTTGATTGGTAGTCAGTACATAGTCAGCAGTGTACGGTGTCATGTATTGTTTAACCTGAAAGTCTTCCCTGCTTTTGAGTTGTTTCTTTTCCATGGGGTAATTTCCTCTCAACTATTGTTTGGGTTTTTTTTTTTTTAATTATTTTATTTTATATTGGTTTGCTTACAACGTTCATATACATTGAATTTCATGGTATTCTTAATTCACATTGTGTTTCATACAATCATTCCCATTCACTGTGTTTTATAGAATTAATCACCATTGGACTATGCCCACCATTACCCTGCCTTTTCAGGTCTCCACCTGAAAAGATCTTTTTCATTTCCTTTACTCCCTCCCTACACTCATCAAATTGTATAACCTTGTGATTTCATCCCCACCCATCCTCACCTCTCTTCTCCCATCCCTTCCCCCCTTAGATCCCAACACATGTTTTACTAGTTATGCTTCTATTTTTACAAGAATTATCTTATGGCCTCTCAGCTATTGTGGAGTAACAATTTCATCACAGCAGACCTCTATCCATAAGAGCTTTCTTTGTGCAGCTCTCACATATTTACATGTTTTCAGCTATGTTACTCTCCTTCCTCCTCCTTTCAGATGGAGCATGTTTGTTCAGTTGAGGGAATCTGGAGAGGCTCAATTATAGAATATTTGGATTTGTGTGCAATTTCTTTAATCTAGGAACAAGGAATAAGGGGTCAAGGAAAGATTATAATTTCTGTATTTTTTTTTTCCATTTGGATTAGAACTTCTACTCCCTTGAGCAAAGTGGGAGCACCCAGAATGGCTGTAAAACAAAATTTCCTGACCACTGTGGGCAGGGGCCTCTAATTGAATGGACAAGGATCCTCTTGTGGCAGTACCCTCAGGCTCCTCGTGCCCTTGTCTGAAGCCAGGTGTCATGTTAAGTGACAGCTATGGGCTGCTGGAACTGCTGGCTCACAGGGGCAGGGCTGGTTTCATGGTAGTTCAACCCCTGAGCTCAGAAGGGCCCAAGTTTGGTTTAACACCGCTATCCTATTTTAAAATTCTTACTCATTATATCTTTCAGTTTATGTTATGTTAGTGAAGTCCAGTGGGACAATGATGCAGGCATATGTACGAGCGTGTGTGTAGGGTCTGGTCACACAGTTCTATTCTGCCTCCTGCTACTACCTGGGGATGGCTTCTTGGTCACAGACTGCATCTTGCAACTGAGTGGTGACTTGGTGGCACAGAGCTGGGGATGTCTGTGCTCTGAAGGGTCCCTCCATTCTATAGGAGCCTGGGAAGTACTGTGAAAGCTGCTGATACAAAGTTGGTGGTTATAACTACCCAGAGGTTCCAGAGGAAGTAAAGCCCGGAAATCTACATCTGTAACATTATAGCCAAGAAAATCCCAGAGCTGTTATGCTGTAACATGGGATTTCACTGTGAGTTGGAACAAACTCCATAGAAAGCTATTATTTTATGTGAAGATAATACATTTTGTTAGTCCATTTATCTATTAATTGAAACTTAGGCTGTTTTGACCTTTTGGCAATTGTGAATAGTGCTGAGATGAACCAGGGTTACAAACTGGTTTGTTCCTGTTCAACACATCAACACTCTGCTGAGAATTTACCCTTCTGTTCCAGGGACATTGAATCAGAATATACAGTTATACAAGATTCCCAGGTAATTCTTAGAGAATTTTAGTTCATCTTATCTGCGGTGGAGATTGAAATTTTGATAATGGAGCCAAACTGGAACAACCTAATTCATAACCCTGACATACACATTGGTGTACAGATATCTTTCTGATTCTTGGCTATTAAGTTTTTTAAATATACCCTGACTGTAATACGGGCTTGAACAAAGAGTAGATCACTACGGCATGGTACAGTTCTACTCTGTTACTCACAGGTTCACTATGAATCATAGTCAACACGAAAGCACCTAACAACAACCTATATACCTAGAAGTGCCTCTTCACATTTTTAATGTGAGAATCTCCAGGACAGCCTGGCCACTCTTCTGAAATAGAAGGAAGCTGGCTGGTCTCCCAAGGCTCCTGTGGAGCAGCAGCAGTGGCCATGAGAAGCTGAGAGACCTAAACCGCCATCTCACTTCTTATTTCCTCAGACAAATAGCAAACTGGAGAGGCCCCCAGCATCCACACCTCACCTCCAAGGGGAAGATGCCCTATGGCCTTTTGTTTTCTCTGTGAACCACTTTTCTGTGCAGCTTTTGGGCTCCAGATAAAACCAAAGTTCAGAAGCATGAGTAGGAAAAACTTTGTGGCCCCATTTGCCTAGAACTGAGATGGCTGTGGACATGCATTTTGTGGTAGATTTTGCTGAGGAGGAAAATGTGCACCTGTTTGGATTGGCATCCAAATTAAAAAAGAGCAGGTGGAAAGAACAACCCAAACCAGCATATCGACGAGTGAGTACTTCCCAAAGTACTTACCAGAGTCATCTGCGAGGCTGTGATCCATTCCGGAGCTATGTGGAAATGGGCCCCCGCTGAATCCCCCAGTAAGATGATTCCCCTGGGCTGTGAACCTAGGCAGATGATTTAGTCACGTTATTTATGTACCTCAGGTTTTCTGGCACCTCCAGGCTTAGTAGTTTTGAGAATAGATACCCCAGCGTGCACTGCATGCTCAGAACGTGCTCACACTGATGCATTGTTGGTACTTGTGTGCTGGGGAGTGAGGGGCAGGGCATTTAGGAGCTGGCCGGGCTTTCCAAGCTGTTGAAACTGCTGCCTAAGCTCTACTGATGCAGGTGTGTGTCCCAGCTCAGCACAGTACAAGCTGCTGTACAGCTTCCTGAGTGAATGATGGATGACTACATCTATCAAAACTTCATCTTCATTTAGAAATATGCCCTAAACTTTGGTTCTGGAAATTGCTTTCTCAGAAAACACACCCATTTCTGTTGCAATTCACTTTAAGAATGAATGATCTGGTAGGGCACTTTTGATTTTTCAAAGATGTTACTGTCTTTTAAGATCCTTAATACATATACACAAAAGCACTGGTTGGACAATTCTAGCTGATTAATGAGATGATAGAAATAGTAAGGTCTCCATGCAGCCCTGTATGGTTGGAAGTTAAGAACCACTTAGAACAATGATTTTGTAAATTATTACCTAACTTGAGAGGGACTGGAGAGTCTAATGCCAAGTGAACTCAATCTCACAAGGACAAGTACTATATAAAACCATTATTGTAGAGTATGAGGATCCAAGGGGTGAGGGGAAGGGTGGAAGCAGAGGGGTATTAGTGTGTGTGTGTGTGTGTGTGTGTGTGTGTGTGTGTATAAAATCATGGGGTTGTACAATTTGATGGGGGGGGCAGTGAGGGAAATGGGAAGGACCTGGTGTGGAAAACAATGTAGTTGAATTTTATAAAGAAATACACACACACACACACACACACACACACACACTCTGATAACCATTTAATCTGTCTTTGAGGTCCATCTACACTAATCACTAATAATTTCCCTATGGGCATATGCTTCCCAATCTCATAGGATTCTGGAAAAATGTATTGACATCTCTCAGAGGGGAGGCCTTGTTCCCTGCCTCAAATTCCCTCCCCCCATCGTGCTGAAGTTCACCCAACCTGACTACATTAGTCTCTCTTGCTGTACCTTATGGCAGCCAGTGCCAGATCACATGAAACATGGACAAGGAGTGGGGAGTTCAGGAAGACCCAGAGGGACACATATGTGGGAAGGAAAGAAGGGATTTCCCACAGTAATCACAGAACTTCTTATCAGTTTTCTGCCAAGATCTAGGTTCATCCTTTCTTTCTCTTATTTCCTCAACAAATATTTCTCAATTGTGTAAATATGTGTGTATCTTCACATTATAGTCTCCCTTTCTGCTTCTCTAAGAAACTTAAGGACAACTAGACTTTAAGTTGATTGAGGGCAATGATTGTATATGTTTTGCTCATAAAAATTCAGTGCTTACATAGTCTAAACATATAATAGGGATAGTTATCCAGGAGATACCTGTTGAATGAATGAGATGCTTCCAAATGTTGGAGGAAGTAGTGCCTAAAATGAAATACCCCATGGTATGCTGCTGCCATGATTGAGTCAGTCTAAGTCTTTGTCAATCAACCGAGTATGTTCTTTGTAATGTATGGGTAGTGATAGGCTTCTCTGTATTGGTGACCTAGATATCTGTGGCATTTGGATATTTAGAGTATAAAGTAGTTCTTTCGGTAATCCTCAATATCTCTATTTTGTAGATTTCCCTGCAGTCACCTAGACATGCATCCAGCTAACTGACACAATGAACCATCTGTACAAGCTCAAGGGTCTGACCTTGTGGTGTATTGAGGAGAAAATGAGAACTCTAGGTTCAGAATTCTGGTTTTCACTCCTATTTGTTTTCTGACTTGAGTAAATGTTGGATTTTGGCCACCCTTAAACCTTTCATAAAATAATAATGAAAATTTCCAAATCTAAAATAAAATAATTTATCATACCAGGATTCTAAATTAAGTTTTAAGTTTTTTAGATCCTGTATCCTTTCCCCACTAATTTTTTCTCCCATTTGATTCGTCACTGGGAAAAAAAAAAGAATAAATTTGTCAAAGTAAATTCTACCATTAAGCACTTCCTCAGTTGGGTAGACTATTCAGTTCAGTTTGAATCACTGGAATAAATATTCTATGATACTATCCATTCTGTATTAGAGGAAGACCCTTAACAAGATGAACTGATACAGTGACTGTACAATGGGTTGAAGCATATTAAAGATCGTGGGCATATTGCAGGAAAGGGCAAAGTCAAGGTCTGTTCTTCATAGGGTTACTGTGAGTTGTACTGGATTCAGTGACACATAACAATAGTCTTTACTGTTGACTCTTAACAATTCATACCTTCACAGAATTTCTTCTCATATGGTATTTCATCTTTTGGATCAATACCCTTTAAAAGAGAAATGATAATAATAACATTTGGCTTTTTAAATTATGAGACAACAAAATCTTTGTAATAGTTTTACAAAGGCCAAACCCTTTAAATTGCTGGAACCACTAATTTAACAAAGTCCATGCTAGTGAGCTGATCTTGGAAAGGAACTAGGTAGGAATAAGGAGACATGCAGGAATTGTGTCTTCTCTTCAAAAGAGTATGGGCAGGGTTGAAGTCCTGGGAGACACGCCTGGGTCAGGATTCTCACTCTTGGAAACACAAGGGCCTGACATCTAAAATATCTAAGAATTGCACTTTCAGAGCAATAACTCTCTACCAATGGAAATTTTGCCTTCCACTTCACCCCAGTGCCAATAGCAGAGATATTTTGGTTATCACAACTGGGAGGAGTGGGCAGGAAGGCTGTTAATAGTCATAGATGCTGTGAAATATAATTCCAAATCAAGTGCCTTCTCCTCACTTCCTGACAAATATCTAAACCAAAACATCAATGGTGCTGAGATTGAGAATCCTGGACACAGTGTTGGGCCTGGGAGTGGCACTAAGTTCCTACAGTTGGGTGACTTCTTAATACCTAAAGCTGAGGTTATCCCTTTGTGAAGTGGGATGGCTGTCCAGAGTCTGAAGACTCTTATGGGAAAGCTTGAAAAATTTAATTTTAGTTCTTGTTGTTTCTATAACTTTGGTCTGAAGAGCACTGAGCTATTAATGGTAATAATATATAACAGTAATAATATAACTTGTTGTATTGTTGCTGTTATGTGCTGTCAAATGAGAGCTGACTCATAGCAGACTCATTCGTGAGTTTTCAGAGGCCTACATCACATGGAAGGATACTGCTCGTCTTTCTTTCACAGAGCACCAGGGGGATTGGGATAATTTACTGTTAGGTTTGGCTGCACAACATAAAATACTCCTTTATAAACATGAGAAAATAAAATACTAAGAATAGTAAAATAATAATTTGTGTGTGTGTTGTGTACCGTTGATCAGAACCGAGCCATATCTGACCCTCATGCAGGTTTTCAAAGGCAGTTAATTGCATGGAAGGAGATTGTCCATCCTTCTCCCATGGAGCAGTTGGTGGATTCAAACCATGTGCATTTGAGATTGCAGTGTAGATTCTTGCCACTAGCTACCAGAGCTAGACACTAATAATATTCCAAGACAAGAGTGATTGATAACCAAAGACATGTTGAAAACACTGCATTCATTCTCTGGTCTTAGAAGTCTCCAAGGTAATTAAAACATTAAAGATACCGAAGAATCCAAAAGCACAGAATTCTGCTTAACTTTATTTGACCGAATACTTCCTTGACTATGAGCATTCTTATCTTTATTACCGTCACACACTATACTGAGGTACTATGGACATGGTTGGGAAATATTGGACCAGACATTTGTAAAGTCCCTGATGAGTTGTGAGCCATTTTTCCTTGGTGGAAAAGGTTACGTGTGAATGTGCCTGTATGCTGAGCTTTTCTTTCATATCCGTGGACTGGCGGGCAACCTTCACTATACCAGCACTTTCTCTTCTTGGCCCTTCCATGCAAGGTGGCAGCACTATGTCTGAGGCAGAGGTGAGAACGCAGAAAAAAGGCAGTAGCCTCACATCCTCATCAAGCCCTCTTTGTCATTACAACCATGTTTACATTCATCAGAACACAAGCTGCCTTGGGGACCTTGGGACTTGAAACTCGAGAAGATATCATTTCTGGAAAGGCAGCATCACTGAAGATAGAGCGGGTGGAGCAGACTGGTGGCTGCCATGCTTTTAATATTCCAGGCACTGGGGGCATGAATTCATGCTATGGTAGATGGTAACTAGTGCAAATCTGGTGTATCGTATAAATGTTCAGCAGAAAGAGAAATATTTGTGGAAAACTTTCTTTCTTAATTTAAGAGGATAAATGTGGCAACCATTCAGAGAGTATTTGCTTTGAAGTTGTAGACTATTAACCTTCAACCACCCTCTCCTATATGCAGGGTCCCAGATCATGTGAGTATTGGAAGTGACTGGGATCTACAGAACATTCTAGTTTCTGATGAGAACTATAGAGTTAGAACTGACTCATAGCTGACCCTCCAGTGGGTTTTCAGAGGCTGTAAATCACATGGGAGGACCATGCCTAATTTAATTTCACACTATTCAACCCAGATTAAAAGATTTGGACAAGGGTGACATTAGGCAAAGTTTAAAGAGGGCCTATGCTCCCATTGACATTCTTTATTTTCCTCCAAACAGTAAAAAAAAATAGCTGTTTGAGGCCTCTGTTTTCTTCCTTCAACTCAAATTCAACTCACTGCTGCCAAGTTAGAACTAAAGCTGACTCTCTAGTGGGTTTTCAGAGGCTTAAATCACATAGGAGGAGACTTTCCATCTTTCTGCTTGAGCAACTGATGGATTTGAATCATCTGTCTTTAGGATGGCAGCACAACTCTTACCCATTAGGCCACCAGAGCTCTTTAAGTGCTCTTTTCTTCCTTGTTGTTCCTGTTGGGTGTAATTGAGTTGAGCATGACTCAGAGCTTGCTAAGAACACAGATCTGAACCCTGTCCTATCTTGTGCCATCCTCACAAAAGCAAAGATGCAATGGGCTTTTGGGACTGGTGGAAAGAGAACAGAGTAACACATAAATGTAGTTGCTTACCCAAATGCCATTACAGTTCGAATCCTGATGAGCATCCCAATTTTCTGGCCTAAGAAGAAAACATGGGCTTAGCTTATCCTTGTAAGTCAGTGTTAATTTTATGAATGAATAAGTGAGTGCCCCATGAAGTGCCACTAAAAGATATCAGCTTCCTTCTTTCATTGTGCCTGTGACATACAGAAGACTCTTCTTGCCCTTTTTTCATATCAATCTTGTTTTTGTATATTAGCTAGGAACTCTGGAAGAAATCCCATCTTTTTCAGATTGACAGCATTCATGAACTATATTATTATTGAATAGTGCTAATGGGTATCATAAACACATCTGCAATCTACTTTATTTAAATAGACGAACTTGTTAAAGTTGTAACTCTGGAACACTCATACATCTGGTTAAGTTAATGCTTCAACACTACAGTCTCAGCTGTAGTCAAGGTTGGCATATCCAATTTTTTTTTTTTTTGGCATATCCAATTTTTGAAGCCAGAAAATGCAATTAGCTGAACACTAGGCAGTACTGCAATGTGTCAAGTTCACCCTTCACCAAGCCCTCTCATTACTCCTGGTGGAAAAGGCCAAGAATTCTGGGCCTAATCCTGGATGCAGTCCAATCAATGTCTACCACAAATGACTTTCCTTGCTTTTCACCTGATGGACAGCACTTCATAAGCATAGTTGGTGCTTCTGTGTTGAGTCTCACCTAATGGATTCAGAAGGCCTGATCAAGAGCAGGTACATGATGAGCATTTCCTGAACAAATGAGGGTAAATGCAATTCTTATTTCACTGGGCTTTACTTCAGGAAGGACCTCAAGGTTTCCTCTTCTCCATAAATGGGAATAATTTAAGATAAGAGAAGAAATTCCTCCTCTTGGCTTCATTTTAGAAGCAGAGAGCCAGCTGAGGAAGTTACCTTCTGCCTGGATACACCATCTCATCATGGTCATTGCAGTCTTGTCCTCGCCAATGATAGCCCCGGAGTGTCTGAAAGTGAAGACATACATGGGAGAGCTGAGGTAGGCATTGATAGATCACAATGAGGGTCCTTCACGGCTGCCTGAGGGTTATTGACATCTGCAGTTTTTAATTTGAAAACAGTCAAGAAACACCAAAGATTAGTAAGGAAATTAGAATAATGTGTTCAGATAGGCTGCGCAAGGGGGAAAGTAACATGGGACCAGGGTGCAATAACAGGAGTTAGTAATTTTGCATATGTGACTGTGTGTGCATGCTAGGGTCATGTATGTGATATTAGGTGAGTATTAGGTTGTTAGGTGATATCACATTGTTTCCAACTTATAGCGACCTTGCACATCACAGAATGAAATACTGACTGTTTTGGAGCCCATTGTAGTCACTATGCCAACCAATCCTGTTGAGGGTCTTCCTCTTTTCCCCTAACCCTCTTCTTAACCAAGTAGTTGTGGATTTGCTTTAAATTTTTTCAGCTTCATCTTGATCCTACATTGTTGTTGTTATGTACTGTAGAGTCAGAACTGACACATAGTTGACTCTCTGGTGAGTTTTCAGAGGCAGTTAATCACAGTGGAGGAGATTGTCTATCCACCTCCCACAGAGTAGCTGGTGGCCTTGAACTGCACACCTTCAGGATTGCTACACAGGTTTTTGCCACTAGGCCACCACAGGTGCCATTGAACTTACATAGAAACAATTAATGTTCCTGCTTTATTGTAACTGATGATCGTCAGCTTCTTCATCATCTCTTTCAACAGATTCAGTTGATTTGATTCTTATGCATATCATTTGGCAAGGTCCATGTTTATATTTGTCTCTTTTTTAAAATACATTTTTAATGAATAAGTCATTGGTTGCACAAAATTCTGTCACGCAATCTCTACAATTGTTTCTATTACTGAGACCATATTTTTTCAACTCTAAATTATTTTGCATTCTAGTAAGCAGCTATTATCAATAAATCTTGATTACGTGTTTTCTCTATTTTAGATTGCAAATGTTGGTAGAAGTCCTCAGCTTTTGAATCTTTGGCTATATTTGTTGGTGCATAAATTTGAGTAATTTGTAGAAAGATTTTATTGCATAGATATTGTTGTTATGTGATATAGTCAACTGCAACTCATGGTAATCCTATGTATAAAGCTGTGAACCCAGCCTTATTCTGAGCCACCTCTTACTGTCTCTGGTACACCTATCCTCATTAGCACAGCTATTGTGTCAACCGATCTCCTCCAGGGTCTTCCTGACTTGTTCTGTCCTTCCACCCTTCCAAGCATAATGTCCTTCTCCAAAGACTGGTCTCTCCTGAAAATATGCTGAAAATTTGTGACACAGTTTCAAAATTTTTGTCTCCAAGGAGAAACTTGATTTCACTCTTTCCAGCATAAACACGTTTCTTTCTTTGGCAGTGCATGGTAAGTTCAATAGGTCTTCTCCAGCACCAAAAATCAAAGGCATCAATTCTTCTTCTATCACCCTTATTTATTGTCTAGTGCTGTAATGCATAGCAAGTAATTGCTACAACCATACTCTGGATAAGGTGCATCTTAGCTCTAGACTGCCATTGTTGCTCTTTAGCATTCTGGTGAGGTCTCTGACAGATGATTTTTCCAAAGCATTATTCTTTTGATTTATTAACTGCTGGTGCCAGGAGTGTTGATTGTGGAAATGAGCAATCTGAAATCATTAACAATCTCAATCTCTTCTCAAGCTATTGTGGTGCTGCCAATTGGCATACAAGTGAGAACTTTGCTTTCTTGATGTTGAGTTTCCACCCATTTTGATGACTGCAATCCCTGATCTTCCACAGCAAATGCTTCAGATTCTCAGTTTCAGTGAGGAAATCTGTGTCATCTGCATAATACAGGTAGATGAGTCTCCCTTCAATCTTAATGCTATATTTCTCCTCAGAAAGTCCAGCCTCCCAAATGATTTGTTCCACATATAGATTTAAAAGGAGCACTGGTGGCTTAATGGCAAGAAGCAGTGATGCAATCTTGAAGGTATATGGTTCAAATCAACCAGATGCTCCATGGAAGACAGATAGGCAATCTCCTCCTTGCAATTAACTGCCTGTGAGGAGGGATAGCTATGTGCTGGTTCTGATTCGATGGTAAGCAACAATAACAACAACAAATATTTAAAAGATATGGAGACAGGACACATCCAGGACACATTCCTTTCTTGATTTTGAACCATATAGTGTTTCTTCGGTCTGTTTCTGTTCTAAGGACTGGTTCCTGGTCCAAGTACAGGTTTTGCATGAGTCCAGTCAGGTGTTCTGGGATTCCCATTCTTCTCAATGTTAGCCACAATTTGCTAATTTGATCCACATAGTCAAATGCCTTTGCATAGCCAATGAAACACAGATGAGACATTCTTCTTGGTACTTTATGCTTTCAGCCAAGATTCATCTGACATTGGCTAAGATGTTCCTAGTGCCACAGCCTCAGGGTTATGGATATTGTCTTATCCCTGATAGCATTATATTTCAGGATACATCCTGAAATGTTCTTTTGAAGGTGAATAGGATCCTATCCCTCTTCATTTTGTTATTCTTGGTAGACTATATGATTGTCTGATTAAAAATGGCCAATACCAGTCCACATTGCATTTACAAGTAGGCTTGGATACATTCTATATGGGTATATCGGTGCCTATGTATAAATATGCATGTGTAGACATATTCCTACTATACACATGTATATACACACACATACCTATGCTGCACACAGGGTATTCATGTAGGTATACATGGATATGTGTGTATGGCTATTCATACGTGTTTGTGTTCATGTATGTCTATGTATACCTCGACAAAAAAACAGGACTGTCACTTCTCCGAAATGCCATTGTTACTCATGTATTCTCTCTGGTTTCAAAACAAATGGCATATTTGGGCAAGTGATTAATCATTTTTTATTTTGCATGACTTATAAATCCTCTCTCAAACCGGTTAGTTATGTGAATTTATATGTTTGGCTTGACAGATTTGAAAGAAGAAAGAGACAGATAATAAAATAATATTTTTATTTCCTCTATTTGCAGGTAGAGTATGTGAAATAATCCAAATTTTGGGGAGTTTGTGCTGTATATTTGTTTGTTGTGGCAAGGATTCTGGGGCTTCGTCTGACATACTTTGGACATGTTGCTAGGAGGGACGGGTCCTTGGAGAGGGACATCATGCTTGGGAGGGTGGAGGGACAGCGCAGGAGGGGAAGACCCTCTATGAGGTGGATTGATTCAGTGACTGGGGTAATCGGGATGGGTGTGTCAGAGGCAGTGCGGTTGGCGCAGGATAGAGCAGGGTTTAGGGCTGTTGTGCATAGGGTCACTATGAGTCGGAAACGACTCGCCGGCACATAACAAAACAACAACAATTTGTTTGTTGTGTTTATGGAGCACACATTAACATTTTGTTGTTGTTTTTGTGAACTGTCATGTTGGAAGTGACCCATAGCTGACCCTCCACTCCAGCAAGTTTGCAGAGATAGTTAAGAGCTGGGAGGAGATTGTCCATCTTTTTCCTGCAGAGATGCTGGCGGATATGAAACACACACCTTTGGATTGCCAGCTTAACTCCTTACCACTAGGACACCAGAGCTTCATTCATTTCAGTTGCTCTATATCACACACACACACACACACACACACACACACACACACACTGAAAGGTAAATTAAAATAGAGTTAAGCTTAAGACTTTCCAAAATAATTTATACAACCCTTCAAGTTAACTGTGATCTTCATGGAGAATTCCAGCTAGAAATGGATCCAGAAAACAGTCTAGTCTTGTGATTTATCAACCCAATGCAAAAAAAGCCTTTAAAAAAACCACAAAATGATGTATTGTTCATGTACCAGTGTTAATGCTCTCTCTTTCTCATGGTCTTTGAATTGGATCTGACCCCAGCTGACTATCCAGGGAGTCTGAGGCTGTTAATCACACAGGAGGAAATTTCCCATCTTTTTCCCTGGTGGATCTGAGCTGCCAGAGAAATGAAACCTTTTCTATTGGCAGCACCATTATCTGGACTTCACCACAAGACCTTCCTCTTGTTAATGATATCTTTTCTTGTTAGAGGAAAGAAATTTGTAGGAAGCTATGTAATGTTTAGTAAAGAGTTATTTGTTTTTAACAATACTTACTGGGAAAATGCCATGTTTGTCCAAATCTGCATCTTTGAATGGCACAGAATTATCTATAGCTCTGAAAAGAGAGCAAAATATATAATGAACTAAGAAAAAAAGAAGAAAGAAACTCTACTGATGCAAAAAATAGAGACATTTTCAGATATTGCTGTTTTGAGTTTATGTGATGAACAATTGTTTTGGGGGCTTTTGTTCAAGGTCTTTTTATAAATTTTTAAATTTTAATTGTAATTTTAATGAAAGTTTACAGAAACATTACATTTTCATTCATCCATTTTGCACAATTACCTACTTCCTTGTCTCCCTCCAGTCTTCTTTGCAATGTGCCTCTAGAAGTATAATTCAGAGCTTGCCTATAAAGAACATGGAAAAAGCCCAAATGTCCAACCACACTTGAATGGATTGAGAAATTATGGTACATTCACATGTTGGAATACTATGCAGCACACAAGGAACAATGATTTTGTAAATCACTACCTAACTTGGGAGGGACTGGAGAGCATTATGCTGAGTGAACTGACTCAGTCCCATAAGGACAAATACTGCCTAAGACCATTATA